CCATACAAAATGGTGTGGATTCAGATCCTATTGCAACAGAGCTAAAGAGACCTCAGTCCTTCAGGACTCAACTAAGCTCTTTTAAATATGACTGCAAGCTCCTTGACAAAAATCCCTGTACCATCTAGGTTATGTTTACATGAACTGGGATATTATCTATTTCAGAAGCTCTAAGTACTACTAGAATGCATACTTAGGACTGTAAAAATAAAGGTCAATGGATTTTTTTGGCAATGGACAAGGAAGTAAATATGAAACTTCTAATGCACCAGTTGAAAAAAAAAAGTAATAGGAAAAATTTTGATGCATAAAATGAAACATTAAAAAGTTAGAAAGCTGGGCCAGTATTAGGGTCATTCTAGGCAAACTCTCATACAGAAAAGCCAACTTTGAGAAATTCATTCATGCAAAAGACAGAATAATCTGCATGCAAAATAACTAGATTTCTCATTGAAGCATATGCATGAAGTCTAATTGGTCATTTGCACATAAACAGTTAACATGACAGCACACTTACTTTTAATAGATGCATTTTTAAATTTAGAGCCCCTAATTTCTGCCTGTGTGCTAGTTTTAAGATGAAAGTGTGACCCTGATAACAGAGGATGCAGAGAAGGCAGTTATTGAATGCCTTCTTTGCATCAGTCTTCACGGGTAAGATCAGCCTGCAGAGATCTCTGACCCAAGAGACCAGGGTAAATGAAGGTGGAGAAAAAGACTTTCCCTTGGTTGAAGGGGATTGGGTCAGAGAACACCTAATTAAGCTGGACATCCACAAGTCCATGGGCCCCAATGGGATGCATCCATAAGTGCTGAGAGAGCTGGTAGACATCATAGCCAGGCCACTCCCAATCACCTGTGAAAGGTCACAGAGATCAGGTGAGGTGCCTGAAGACTGGAAGATGGCAAATGTCACCCAATCTTCAAAAAGGGCAAGGAGGACCCGGGGAAGTACTGGCCAGTCAGCCTCACCTCAGTCCCTGAGAAGGTAATGGAATGTCTCATTCTGGAGGCCATCTCTGACCACATGGAGGACAAGAAAGTGATCAGGAGTAGACAGTATGGGTTCACTAAAGGTAAGTTGTGTTTGACCAACCTGATTGCCTTCTATGACAAAACAACTGCCTGGATGGGTGAAGGGAGAGCAGTGGACATTGTATACCCTGACTTCAGCAAGGCTTTCGACACCATGTCCCACAGCATCCTCACTGGAAAACTTAACAAGTGTGGGTTGGATGAATGGACAGTAAAGTGGGTTGAGAACTGGCTGAGCGGCAGATGCCAGAGAGCTGTGATCAGTGTCACAGAGGCTAGTTGGAGGCCTGTCACTAGTGGAGTCCCCCAGGGTTCCATACTGGGCCCAGTTTCGTTCAACTTATTCATCAGTTACTCAGACGAGGGCACAGAGTGCCTCCTCAGCAAGTTTGCTGATGATACAAAACTAGGAGGAGTGGCTGATACCTCAGAGGACTGTGCTGTCCCTTCAGAGGGACCTTGATAAGTTGGCAGAGCAGACCCAACTGAGATTCAACAAGGGCAAGTGCAAGGTCCTACACCTGGGGAGGAATAACCCCAAGCACCATCACAGGTTGGGCACTGACCTGCTGGAGAGCAGCTCTGCAGAGAAGGACTTCAGGGTCCTGGTGGACAACACACTGTCCATGAGCCAACAGTGTGCCCTTGTGGCTAAGAAGGCTAATGAAATACTGGGATGCATTAAGAAGAGTATTGCCAGCAGGTCAAGGGAGGTGATCCTGCCTCTCTACTCAGCCCTCCTGAGGCCACACCTGGAGTACTGTGTCCAGTTCTGGGCTCCTCAGTACAAGAGGGACATAGAACTCCTGGAGTGAGTCCAGTAGAGGGCAACAAAGATGATTAAGGGACTGGAGCACCTCACTTATGAGGAAAGGCTGAGAGAGTTGGGTCTGTTCAGTCTCGAGAAGAGATGACTGACATGTACTCAACAATGTATTCGAGTACTTGAACAGGAAGTGCCAAGATGATAGAGACAGACTCTTCTCAGTTGTGGAAACCAATAAAACAAGAAGCAATGGGCAAAACCTGATGCACAGGATGTTCCACCTGAATATGAGGAAGAACTTCTTTACACTATGAGTCACTGAGCACTGGAACAGATTTCCCAGAGAGGTTGGGGATTATCCCTCACTGGAGGTATTCAAGAACCATCTGGACACAATCCTGAGCCATGTGCTCTAGGGTGGCCCTGCTTGAGTAGGGAGGTTGGACCAGATGACATACTGGGGTCCCTTCCAACCTAACTGACTCTGTGATACTGCGAAGTGCTGGAGGAAGCAGTGAGGGATTAGGAATAGAGATGTTTAGGTTACAGAAGGCACACTAGCAGCAGCCCTAAGCTTGTTTTCACAAAATCTGAGAGAAATCATACTACTCTTTTAAAGGCTGTCTTATTTTATCACTTTTCAGATTTCTTTCAGTTTGTTCTGTCTTGCTCAAGGTAGAGCAGCCATTGGATTTTTGGATGACACATTGTTACTGCAACACAAGGTGAACTCCTCCTGGTTCAGCTAAAGATATGGCATATTCAAATACAGAGAACATTTATTGAAAAATGTGATGGCTGTTGAGCATGGATTTATTTGACACTGTATTGCTACTGAAAACAAAGAGCTAAAAAAAAGAGATACTATAATTAAACCATATACTCATATTTAGGCCAAATCATTGAAATTATGGCAATCAGGGTAATTCACTATATCCTCTTCATGCTGTTTGCCTGACACATTGCTTCCTGTTACACGTGAAAGTCAATGCAAACATGGACTCTTCCCACTAGCTCTGGTATCCATTCCAAAAAGGCTGTGAATACAGTACTGCTATGCCACAGATCATGCCATTTCATGGTAAGCACTTTCTGCTAAAACAGTTAATTAGTATCTTACTTAGAATTAAAAAATAAATGTACAACATCTTTTCCAGAAGCTTCAGATCATCGGCATCAAAAAAAGGGAGAGTCCAGTTATTCCTGCAAAATTCTCAAAGACAGATGAGCTGTGGAAAAAACAAACCATCTGACATCAAATTTGATAGAAGACAGCTTTTCTGTTCTAGATTCTTCCAAATTGTTCATTTGTTTCTATTTTATTTTCATTTGTTGGAGGGCTTTTATTTTCAGGAAGACAGAAAGGGGAATAGCACAATTGTTTTGGCAAAAGATTCTAAACCCTGTTGGAGATTTCAATAATCAACCACTATTTTACAAAAAAACATTTGGTTTTGTGATTGAGAAACCAAAAGCGGAATTTAAGGACAGAGATATGACTATGATTTTTATCTGTAACTTTCACTCTGGCTCTGTTATAACCTATATCATCACTTCTACTTTGGCCAAAAAAGCCATCTAAAAACCCCCCCAAATTCTCAATTAATTAAACTACCCCTTTACATGATTCAATCCACTATAGAGCTAGGCCTAATATACTAAGATGAAAACACCAACATCTTTTCTTTACCATTTGTATAACAAATAAGTAAAACTGTATTTGTCTCATTCATGTTGATAAAAGCTTGAAACTACTTAGAGGATGCTAAGTCAAAATATAAAAAGAGTTTTATACAAAACTGATAGTCAACCAAAAGTGTTACACTACAGAGGCAGAATGAACACATTTTGGCAAGAAGTTCACTGTTCCACAGTACGTATTGGCAAAGAATGCATACAAAGTATGTATTGGGTGGATGCAGATAGATGGGAGGGGAAGGAAAATGATAAAAGCAGAATGAGAGGAGAAAGCGAATGAAGAAACAACAAACTGGGAACCAAATGAATACACTAACAGCTAATTGGCTTGATATTACTTAACCAAATTCCTTTCCTAATCAGAACAATAACAGGAAAAAATGAGTCCTCTAAATTAGCATACAATTAATATTTAAATCAGCTCTAGAAGATTAACATTCACAGATGTATACTATGTAATCTGTACATGAACAATATACATTTACTAGCGGTAAGATCTGATAGGCAAATGTAGCTTAGACAATAATATCTTTATTATTGAAACTAAGACTACATACAATTTGGCATGCCAAGTACTTAAAAACTTTGCTATTCTTAAAAATATTTCTGGAATTTTAGCTGTACAATGTTTGACTATTTAATATTCATTCTATTGACATACATTTGGATCAGAAGAATTAGACTTGAATTAGAAGAATCAGAAGAAAAAATTGTGGGTATGAAAACGGATAAAAGCTAGAAGACAAAATTGCTTTTTAGAAATAGCAATATTGACAAGTGTTCCCCATGCCAAAGCAGTTTCAAATATAATGCACATTCCTCGTGAAGGCTGTAGAAACATATAAAATTCATTGTCTATGTTTTTCAGAAGAAGCACATGATCAAGGAGCTAAAGCACGTGTCATGTTCAGCTCTCCCACCCACCCTACTGTTGTGTCTTAACAAGGATGTGAAAAGGTGTTTCCTGTATACAATACGTGGAACTCATATAGCCAGAGCACATAGCTATCTGTATTCCACATGTCACAATATCTTTTCTTCCATAACTTGATTAATGATCTAGTTGATTCAGAGTATAGTTTCCCTCCCATATTACACAAGCATAATGTAAAAAGATTTGTGACAGACATGTAAATAATTAAGTCATAAAAATGCAATATAACACAGATTTCAGACCTGTCTATATATTTTAATTGCTCCCTCAGCCTGTGATTTTGAGGTACAGGATGTTTTCAATTTCCCCAAATAATAATCATCACCTCATGGAACAGGGCCCTTTGATGCAATTTTTTGCATTGATAAACCCCAGATTTTTTATTTGAGGCATGTGTTTCAGGGTAGAAATTTAAATAAACACAATCTAGGTAATTAGGTTCCATACATTAAAAAAAACCCCATGATTTTCTGTGTTAGTTAACATCTTAACACTATGGCTTCCATCACTGAATGGCTGTTTAGCAGCACTGACTGAACACTGCAAGTGCGTGGCATAAGACTATACCTGACAGGTATGTTCGTTCTTCCATTTGCTCAGCACACACGAACAGTTTTGCATTAAGTCCTAAAGGACAACAGAAAACAGAGAGTGGAGTTGGCAGCACACATTGTCACTATCGGTTAACAGACTTCTGATTTTCAAGTTTAGAGATGAAGCATGCCACACAAAGATGCAGCTGTTTTAGAACAGCCCACCAGACAAAAGCACATTTATCATCACTGGGACAGTTGGATCTTTATGAAAATTAAAGCTGTTGAAAGAGGTTTGAAAACCGGATTAGATGTTGCCATGCTTGAAACTTTGTGAAACATACCTCTACCTCCTTGAGTGCATCTCGCAGTTTGTCTGGTCGCTTGGTTTTTAGTATCCAAGGATAATCTCGAGCTGCCAAATAAAAGGAAAAAAAGGAAAAAAATAGAGAAATGTGTTCTTACAGGTGACTATTATATATGTGTGCATATACGTGTGTATGTGTGTGTACAAACACATTTATATATATAATAACAAAAAGTTCTTCAAATTGAGCATCCTTTTCTGCGGAAACACAAAACTAAGATTTTCAGGAGTTACCTTAAATGTAAAACTTATCTACAACTGGAAGGAAATAGCTATGGTATCCATTGTCAAAGGATATCCTTTTGGAAGGCTCAGTCATAGTAACAGTTAGCATGTTCTATCCACACTGACCATCACTTCCCCAGAGCAGTTGTGTACAAAGTGCTCAGGACCATACCCAGCTGCTAAACACTTGAGATTTAAAAGCATCTCACATTCAGTCTGTTAACTCAAACTCAAGTTATCAAATCCTAAACAGATTCTATTCTTCTGAACTAACCTTTCATTGCCTAATTTCAAAAAGCAGGCACTAACATGTCTGTGAAATACTATGCATGAATATATGCATACATAGAAGTATTAACAACAGGTAATTGTGAATGCCATAATTCATGCAGTATGGTTATTTATAGGATTTGTTCTTGAAAATTTGGTCTGAAGAATCTGCCAATTCAAGCAAGGAAGAAAGAAACTGCATGACTGCTACAGTACTTTAACAAATTTATTAATGTTCAGCACATTATTTATTGTGAAAATTCTGGCCTAATATATTAATTCTAGTAACCAGGAGGCAACGATTGCTCTAGAGTTGCCAGTAATTGGCTTGTTTCATGGCTGAGAATCAGGCTCTAATAATTTGTGAAATTCCTTCATTTAAAAGTGATCAGTTTTCTGTTCATAAGCATACAATAAAAACCATGAGAAACTAGAACACATTGTCTGTTTAAAATCTATTCCTATTAAAAGGAAACCTGATGAAAAGTTTGGAGCTCCAAGCTGTCAGTTTTGTGCCAACTTGCAGACTGAATGACTTAGCAGTTATGCTTAAACCTCTCTGCAAAAAGGAGCTTACAATAGAAGTGCTATAGAGTGAAAAAATGAAGGATTCCATATATCATCAAAAGAGCACACCAACATACAACTTCTCTTTGTGTTTTATTGGACAGAAGCCAGTGCTGGTGGAACTGTTATGATAACATTAATTAGGCATGTAAGATCACATTTTCAATGGGTGCCTTCATAAATACTGGAATATTTATCCACATATGCAAAACGGGAAATTGCCTGTACAGATACCAAACTATCTATACAAATCAACAGCTGTGAATAAAGTTCTCCAGTGCTCCTCTTTCCAAAATGTGCCATGCAGCTTTGTGCCCAGGGCACCCCTGTATTCCCAGTGACAAGGTGCAGCAGCTTGTGTTGCTTTAGCTTGTCACATGTCTCAGAGCTAACAGTTGGGGCTGCTCTGTAATGGGGCTTTATCTGCGCCTGCTTCCTCTTTCATACATGCAGCATCTGTAAGATAACGCTACACAGAGCACAAGGGATGTAAATCTATGATGCTCCTCGCCGCTTAAAACCCTTTCTCACCTCCCCACCTTTACAGAGCTGTATTGATTCCGACTGACACACAATCCTCTGCAGTGGGTGTAGATTTACCACATGGCTGCGTGCACCTTTACACCCACCCCCAGCAGGACTTCAACCTGCTCCTGACACACCTTATGGTGTGGCAAAGAACTTACCCTTCCAGAGCACATTTTGCCTTCAAACACAAGCACAATTCCATAGTTTCATTCTGATAACAGCATAGATATTACTTTGTGAAGTCATCCAAAAAATCAATTAGATTTTTCAGAGTTGTCATGCAATAATGTTTGAACACTTAAGAATGCTCTGAGCGAGAATACCTATGAAGGAGTTGTAAAACTGAGCTAAATAGAAGTTGTACTAATATAAAAATCTTTAATTGTCACAGTACTGCTGTGTGATAGCATGAATTGAAATGCTTTTAAGCAGGTAATGCAGGAACAGTGTAAATGTTTCAGTGCTGAAAGTGTCCTATGAAAGCATCTGATTGTTAATCTGGAATTTGATTTTGGCTGAAAGTATTCCAGTTATAATTCTGTTTTAAGGCAGTTGGCATTGCAATTCGAGAGCTGATTGGGAAAATATTTATTGCTTGTCTGCTGAGTAAATTTCATAAGGAAAAATCTGGATTATTTTTGTGATTCCTTTTGACAATGGATTTGAGAAGCAATACACACTACCATAGTTAGTGACAGGGAAAAAAAAAGGGATTGCAAATATACCAGGAATTTCAATTGTTTTGTGCTGTGTAGTTCTGTGACCATCTGTCTTAATTGACATGTGCAGAAAGTTACATTGAAAGCAGTCTGGGGTTATTTTAATGCTTTTCCAGGGGCATCACCAATCCAAATGAATAATTTTGTCTGAAACAAGAAACTCAGAAAATGTCCTTACATTCTGCCAGCTTTTGCTTTTCTTCTAAGTAACCGTGCTTCATCTGTGATGCTAAAGGAAAGAGAGCATGAAAAGATGAATGATAATCCTTACGACTGCTGTCAGCAAATATTAATATTAGAGAGGGAACATGCACAGTTTGATAAAACACAGAAATTTACAAAAAAATTAAGACAGTCCCCATGTTTTCACCTCGTAAGGCAGATATCTCAAATTCACAGTGAAAGAAAGGCTTACACATCCCAACAGGTGGGCTGGCATTACTGAGCCCCCAATCTCATCAGATAGTGAAGTGAGCTGCAACTGAGCCCAGGATTGAAGCTGAGTCCGTCAGTCTGTCAGCAGAGCCACGCAGACAGCGGCGTGTGAACCAGGGGACTCAGCCCATGGGATGACTGCACCAGCCTCCGCTGCGCCAGCCTGGATGCAAAGAGGAGGTAACTCTAGCCCAACAGACCTTTTGGCCCGTGGTGAAACTTGTAGGATTAACAGGATTAATCAGATAAAGAAAATGGATCATTCGCTCTGAAATGGCCATTTCAGATAGCAGGCAGGGTGCAGAGGCCAGGCTAGCACTGCGGCGTGTTCGAGATGCCCTCTGCTGGGATCCCAGCAATCACCTGGTGATGTGCCGGGCTGAACAGAATAAAAAATACCTCAAAAATATAAGAATTCAGAGTATAAAAATCCACTGAGATTTCTAGTGACACAACGATTGGTTCTACCCGAGTATTTTTCCAATTCTTTTTCTTCTATGGTTTAAAAAGTTTTTAAATACTCTGACGTGACTTGGGAGAGGGATTCTCTTTTTGTGCTTCTTTACTCCATAGAAATACAAAGGCATATATTAACAAGAAATTCGAAGTTGCGTTTTTCAGAGCCAACAGTGGGTGTCAAAGATTGAACATACTGAAGTTTTGTTTAGTTTCAGTTATGGTTATTTATATTTTACCTGGTTCTTTCTTGTCATAGTACTGGTGGATCCCAATGTCTTCATCTATATAATTAAAAGTAAATACATTTAATCTGGATGTGACACTAGAAACAGAACACAACTTAGCAAGCAAAGTTCAGCGTCTCAATTTTTGCCAGCTGAAGCAGAGTGTTAGGTGATAAAAACCAAGTGACAGCGAAAAAACCACAGCATATAGCCTGAATAATATTAGGACCTTCAAGAATCAGCATAAAAAAAGGACATGACAAGCCCTTACATTTATTTGGATCTGTCATTTCGCTCACATACACTTTGATTCTCTTTCAGGTACCACCATGCAAAAGTATTTTTACCACCTTCCTAATTAGCATCTTTTGTGTTCTTCCACAAAGAAAGGTAAGGATCACAGTGAAAAGTGTACCTTAGAATAACTTTGCATGTTTTCTGATGGCTGACACAGCTGAGCTAACGACAACGGGGGATTTTTTAAGATTCATGAACTCCTAAAGCTGTTTTTTCAAAGGATCCAATATTCTTAACCAAGGTACTATCATCTACCTGGGTCTCCTGGCAAAGAAATGTGGATGTTTCAGCTACATTGTGACTGCAACCACACCAGTCAGTTCCTGATGTGTCCGACAGGTAAATATTTAGGTGTGCCACTGCAAGCTCCACTGAGTAGATCTAAGTACAGCATCACATTGTAATGTTTTAAAATAATTAGAGTTAATCAACTGCATCTGTCTCCTTCTGAACTCAGACAGGGATATACCATGGGGAGAAAATCCTTCCATGGAGGAAGAATGTAGAAAGGCACTGCAATGGCAGGCAGGTTTTAAACCAGAACAGCAGTCCTCTCTTCTGCCTCAGCATTTTTGAATGAGGTCTTGAGGCAATGAATAAACAGATAGAAAGGATGCAAGAAGGTAAAAGGTAGAAAATAGGCACAGTACTCCACAGTAAACCTCTAATTACAATAAATCACAACCATGTTTTTACTTAAACCATCAGCCTTTTCTATGCAATACAGCTGAAAAATTTGGATGATGTTGTTGTTACAGAACAGTTCTCACACAAAGATGGGATGTCAAAGCGTATCGAGTCAATATCTGAATAATAACATTCAACTGAATATCCATTTATTATTCAAAATAATGTTTCAACAAAGTATTGTACACTACAATTGGCATGACATGTCATAAATAATATTTTGATGTGGTCCACTTTTAAACCAGTGGATTTCTTTTTTTAATATTATATTTTAGCAATAACAAGGCAAGATGAATGAGGATAATTTCTACATGGTGAGTAATTACTCACATGTCTCCTGGAACAATCAATAAGACAAAAATTTCCTTGTAAGTATCAAATGTAAAGTAATCATGCAAAATACCCAGAACATGCAGCAATTTTTTATTTTCAGATTGAGTATAAATCACAGTTCCTCTGCAGATCACTTGACTATAGACCATTCACCCAAACCAGTCATTAAACTGAAGCTCACTATCAAGTAGGCCATAACTTCCTTCAAGGGAAATGCATCCAATTAAATATAATCTTAACATTTTTCACTTGAAAGGATGCTCCAGTTCTACAACAGGATAAGCAAAGAAGCTGAACAAGTTCAAACGCTGTATTACTGCCTAATTTTCTTTCTCCTACATATAAAAACTACTTCACTTGGGTATGGAGAATTTCATATTAGTTTAATATTCATCGACAAGCTTTGATGCTTTGTTTTAGCAACAGGTAACAGCTCACCTCTAATATGCAAGTTGGTCTTCAAAGACCACAGAAACATCTCAGCCAGGAAGAAAGACATCTGGTGACAGACGGAGCCTTAGCACTAGTAAAAGAAGGAAAGAAACTGCATGAGAAAATTAATTACCCTCTATTGCCAGTGAAACTGCAAGTACTTTGGAATTAAGTGCTAGACCTAGCACTGATGGTATTTTGTTATATGTAAGCTGTAGGTTTTGATCACAATAAAATGAACAATGCATGGACAAGAACAGGATAAGAAATGTAATATGTCTATAGACACATCATACAGAAAGATAAATCAACATTTGTTTAAATGTACAGCTGCTCTCACTAAAGTAAATAACTGTGCTTGGTGGCTTCTCCTATACACACTGGGATCTATTTTTACTGTACAGTCATTACCTTGACAAATGCAAAATGAAGCCACTGCTTAAGTATATAGCTTAGATAGAATTTGACTCTCAAGGCCGAATTTTTTTAACACTGTACATTGAGGTGTCAATATAGTCAAGAAACGACTTTGAACACATGATATTTGCAGACATTAGTTATAGTGTCAAAACCAATAAATGATGTCTTTCTAAATAAAGTAAGCATAAATATAAATAAATCAATTAGAACTGACAAAATGACAGATGTGAAGCATACAAAATATGAGTTGAAATATTACGTACATTGGCTAGTTATTAGATGTTTGCTATATTTTTTGAACAATCCATCTAAATACTCCCAGTAGATGATGTGTAGAGTTTCAAAGGAGCACTGGGAATGTCCCAAGACACAGTAAGTAGCAGACTTCCCTGAGAGATTTTCTGCAGTGCTGTAGTTACAAGTGAGCCACCAGACCAATGACTTTCACTTCTTCCGCTAAACCCAAGGATCCACTGAAAGCTGGACTAAGCATTTGTGTTTACACAAATGCAACACACTTCAGAACCACTTTTAGCATGGTACTATACATGAAATTTTTTCTCCTTTTTTTTTTTTGCAGCACGCTCTTCATTCGCTTTCCATGAGTGCCATTTAGACAATTAATCAATTACAAGGTGATTACAGAATTCCTGTCACATAGAGTATTAGACCTTTGCATCAAGAGTGCTACGATGAAAAATATGTGCAAGAATCTGAGGTAGCATCAAGGAAAGTGTCATGGTCCCAGCAGAGCTTGGAGACCTTGAGGTATTATCACTCAAGCTAGTATGTATGTTTTGAAGTACTGCCTAATCCACTGAAATAGCACCAAGTGGAAATAGCATTTTCTTTCCTCTGATCCCCAAATGTACAGAAAGTCTTGCTGACTTACTAAATCTCATAGTTCTATAAAAAAATGCTCACAACACACACCTAGTAAATGGAATATACCTTCATCTTGGGTGAGAATAAGGTTTGGGAAAAAAATGCTAGGAGATTAGTAGCATGGTGGTCTGTTGAATATGGGAACCATTTTGGTATAAATATGGATGAGGGCAGCCCCTCTTTTTCCATGTGGACTAAAGTAAAAGGAGATTGTACATTATAATTTTATCTGTTTTTTTCTTTTTTTTCTTTACTTACTTTAGCAAGTGAAACAAAACTTGTATCCCCCAAAGCCCACAGATCCTAGATTAGAACCACTCACTAATAAGAAGTCATCAAATTGAGTGAGCTTCTCAAAATCCTATCATGGCTTGACTGAAGAAAAACCCACACACCTCTGAGTGGCAGATAATCTATTCAGCTGGAAAGAAGGCACATCTGCCCAGAAGCAAGGTGTTGTGGGGTGACCTTGGCTGGACATGAGGTGCCCACCAAAGCCATTCTCACTTCCCTGGACTAGTACAGGGGAGAGAAAATATAACTAAAGGCTCATGAGTTGAGATAAAGACACTTGACTGAAGAAAAACCCACACACCTCTGAGTGGCAGATAATCTATTCAGCTGGAAAGAAGGCACATCTGCCCAGAAGCAAGGTGTTGTGGGGTGACCTTGGCTGGACATGAGGTGCCCACCAAAGCCATTCTCACTTCCCTGGACTAGTACAGGGGAGAGAAAATATAACTAAAGGCTCATGAGTTGAGATAAAGACAGGGAAAGATTGCCATGCCATGAAGATTGCCATCATGGGCAAAACAGGCTCAACTTGGGGTAATCAGTTTAATTTATTACCACAAAACCCAAAGCAAGATAGTAAGAAATAAAATCAAATTTTAAGAACACCTTTTACCCACCCCTCCCTTCTTCCTGAGCTCAACTTCGCTCATGATTTCTCTACCTCCTCCCTGTAAGTTGTGCAGGGGGGTGGGGAACGAGGGCTGCAACCAGTTCATCACACATTGTCTCTCCCACTCCTTCCTTCTCACAGGGAGGACTCCTCACACTCCTCTCCTGCTCCAGTGTGGGTCCCTTTCATGGGGTGCAGTCCTTAAGGACAGGCTGCTCCAGCATGGGTCCCCCATGGGATCACAAACCTGCTTCAGCATGGGCTTCTTTCTCCATGGGGCCACAGGTCCTGCCAGGAGCCTGCTCCAGCATGGACTTTCCACAAGGTCACAGCCTCCTTCAGGCATCCCCCTGCTTCAGCGTGGGGTCCTTCAGGGCTGCAGGTGGATCTCTGCTCCCCCATGGACTCCCATGAGCTGCACCACAGGCTGCAGGGGAAAGCTCCGCTCTGATACCTGGAGCACCTTCTCCCCTTCCTCTTTCACTGGCCTTGGTGTCTGCAGGGCTGTTCCTCTCACATATTGTCACTCCTTTCTCCAGCTGCAATTTGCTTTTGCACTGTAACTTTTTCCCCTTCTTAAATGCATTACCCCAGAGGTGCTACCAGTGTTGCTGATGGGCTCAGCCTTGGCCAGCAGTGGATCTGCCTTGATGCTGCTGGCATTGGCTCTGTCAGATATGTGGCAAGCTTCTAGCAGCTTCTCACAGAAGCCACCCCTATAGCCCCTGCACTGCTACCAAAATCTTGCTGCATAAACTCAAAACACAAGGTAAGATTAGAAGACTTTGGCATGACAGATAATCTAACATAAATTCCCCAAATTATTACAAAGCTCTTGTAAGCAGGCTGCATGGGCAGTTCTAGTTGTGTCCTCCTATTGAACATAAAGCCATCTCATAGTGCTTTAATGCTGCTCTGCATCTTCCCAACTGACAGATCAAAGACTTTCAAGTCCTTATTTTTTTCACTGTCAGACACATGGAGGGAGCTTGCCAAGAAACAGAAGGAAGTTTTCAAATGAGCACTAAATATTCAGTGTCCAAGACATGCACTTTTAAAAAAATTGTCCTCAAAAATGTTTTGTAAGAAAATTCAGTGCAGAACTTTTCAGTTCTGCACTGAATCACCTAGATGAAGCAAAATTCTCCATGTACCTGAAACAGAGATTTTGTCAATTTTTAAGATCTTGAGACCAGCTTCTTTTTTCTCCCTTTCCTTGGAGTCTGAGCACTCACTAACCAGCTAATTATTGTAATGTTGCTACTGTTGTGCCAATGCATATGGACTTCTGCCCAAAAATACTGTGCCAGTTTAACAAACTCTAATCTGAAATACTTTCTGATTAGTTAGTCTACAGGAGGAAAAAAAAAAGGAGAGAGAAAAATTTGCTTCTGTAACACAATATTGCATTGTAAAGTCTGAATATTTTGTTCAGAGAAATTACTCTTTCTTGTTCCTTTTGAAGGAATACACGCCAACTTTCAGAGTTATGCAACTGCATATCACCATTTCTCACATCATTATATTCCAGCACAATGGGAATGAGGACGATGACGACAAAGCAATCCTTCTGTATTTGAAAAGTGCCTCTCAGATTTTACAATGTTCCTTTAACTCCATGAGCTGGGCCCTGCTATTGCAAAGAGGTAGGTATAAAAATATATTAAAATTCCTTCCATTGAACTTTAAGGACTCCATCCCTCACTTTTTAAAACAGATTAGAATTTGGAAAAAATGGGATGAAGTAACTCTACCGTTAAGGTAAAACTGGAATTCAATTTAATAGCTGGTTCTTTTTCTGGTCCACAGAGCACTGTCTGCTTTCACAATATCACCACAAACAACAGGGATATTTTAGCGGTTGCAAAAGCTTACTGACAAATGGAGATGTTTTGCAATGGTCAGCTTGTGCCAGTATCTGTGTGAGGACTGCTTTGTTTAAAACAAATCTTCAGTTTAGTAAATCATCCTTTAACCACTGATACAGAAAATAACCACCTGCCCACTTCGTAATATCAACAAATGCTGAAATTGATACTGGCGTCCTCTCCAACACCTCCAATACAGGTGCCATTGTGCCAAATAATTAGAAACTATGCACTGCCCAAGTGATTTGGGGCACTGCTGCTGCATTTCTTCTCTTTCCATACTTAGCTGGGAGAGCAGAATGCTTGGGAAAGGCAATGTCCAGCTCTCAAGGAGAGTGCATCCCAGGAACATGACCTCTGAAAACATACTAGGGGCAACCTAGAGCCGGAGAATAGGAGATGCTGACTACAACAGACTATCTGTATTTTGTAGTTCATGTGCCAGAAGCATGGCTCAGTGTGACAACACTATCTGAAGTGCCCCTCTAAGAGTAAACCCTATAACAGCCAGGCTACAGGGCAGCATTGAATGACCATCTGCTTGTTCCATTGAAGGTGGGCTCAACACACCCTCAGAAACCCAGCCTTCCTAGAGAAAGAGTAATAAACAAGGGGGATCCCCTCCAAAATATTGCTCTAGCTTGGGAAACACTCCTAGGAGCAGAAACAAAGTAAAATACAGAGCCAGTCAGAAAACAGGTCTCTCTATGGCACAGTAAAGTTACAAAGCTGCCGTAATGGTGTGTGCACACGTACTAGATGAGGTGCTTCAGACGTGGGTTTGGGTACATGTTATAGGACAGAATGCCCAAATAAAAGAAAATGCTGCAGAACCCATTTTCACTACTCCTGTCACTGGTCACCAGAGAGAAGAGATCAGTGCCTGCCCCTCCACTCCCCCTCATGATGAAGCTGTATACTGCTATGAGGTCTCCCCTCAGTCTCCGCTTCTCCAGGCTGAACAGACCAAGTGACCTCAGTTGCTCCTTGTAT